GTAAAACAGGTAAGTTAAAACCTTATCAAGCAATATGCAATGATAAACAAACGAAAAGCTGTCCTGAAAAATTAATACGTCTATACAAATATTATTCATAATTAGCTGTCGCTTGCGACTTTGTCTGATAAAAATATAGATAGTAGCCGTTTCTCAGACCTACTGAATATGTATATATAATTTCATAAATATCGGTCAACCAGTTTTGGAGGAGTATGGTAACTAACATTGTGTGACACTAGAATTTTATGATTTTCCGGACTTTATTTTGAATACTTCAAATGGAAGGAAGTACAAATAATTGACATTACTTGGGTTACTTAGAAATATAATAACAATTGTTGAATTTCTAGCATCGTTATACTTTGCTATTAAAATTTTACTCTACAGTCTTTGACTTTAACTTATTTCAAGAACTTAACTACGAAAACTTTGCTATCTCCGAGGCCTTGGCGGTTCGCTAGTATGTATAAAGCTTGTATTTATCACCACTAAGCTTAAATGTACGTATCCATTAATCTTGTAGCAGGACATAATTAATTATTCCTCAGGGGCAGCTTAGCGAGTACATGAACGCATTGCTTCTCCCATAGCGGTGCTTCATTGAGGCAACCACAAAAAAGGGTAGAAAAGGTTAATACTTATTTAATCGTCACGTTATGGTGATGTTCCACAGATTAAAAAATTAACTGTATTTTTTCGATTTTAATATACAGTTTTTTGTTTTTGTTTTCATAAAAAAATGCTAACATTTTCTATTCGTATGTACTGTCAAGGAATCAAGCGGTATTCCACCTTAAAAGCGACAGTCGTTCGAACATTTTGTAAAGCATGAAGACGCGGGAATCACTGGTTTATAACTAATAGCTTAGTAATATTATTATATAATTGCGCAACTAACTGCTACCTAATTGGTTATTTTGTAAGAACTACATTCGAGTTTTTATCGTTCCAAAGGACAAGGCATTTTTGTCTGTAAATGGAATAACGCGAAAGGCCCTGACTGTACATATATTTTTACAAACTAACAACAGACTTTAAAGACGATTCTCTAATACATAAAGTAATTCAATAAAATATTATTTATAAGTAGCCGATGCCATTACGATTTCAATGTGAGCGAAATACGTATTTATGTGAATATTTGAGTGATACTTGTAAACTGAATACATCAAAAATGCCGGTCTGAAACGTATGGAAATCAGTAATTCGACTTAATAAGACACGCGAGGTATACGTGTCCTGATTTTTACGTTTTTTACGATTTCATTTGTACGTATTTTATATATTTTGTGTACGAATAACACGTATCTCATTATTGGCTCAGTGTTCTGATTAAATCACAATATATATGTTATTATTTTACTTGATGTAATGACTTTATAAGTTAAAAATAATTTATTTTTGTTTATACATGTTCAAAGACTCACGGCTTCCAGCAAGATTATGAAAAAAAAACAAAATAAGTGCAATTAAAAAGAGTTTTAAGATTCCTTCTAGGAATGTATTTTTGAAAAATCCTTTCTTAATGTTAGCTTATGTAAAGAATGCTCTACGCTAATATCTCAAACCTTAGTTAGCTGTACGTTGATTTATTGGAGAGTTTTTGTAATGTACATATATAGATTAAATGTAAAAGCTTAACTCGCTTTGGTCATATTTAAGTGACGTCTGAATTTGAATTAGGCCATGAGATGAATAGGTAAAGCGGGCCTCAGAGCTTGTAGGTTTAATGGACCGCGAAGTCGACGGCTCTAACCATTCACACAGCCCCTTGCTCATAGAATACTAAACTAAAAGAACTAGTCGTTTTAGTATATTTTTGAGAACCTATTTATTTTTTTAAAAGCCATTTGAATGTAATCTATACATATATATAGAAAAAAATGCTGTCCGTTAGTCTCTCTGAAACTCGAGAACGGCTGAACGGATTTATCTTATCTTGGTCTTGAAATATTCGTGGAGGTCTAGGGAAGGTTTAAAAGGTGAGAAAAAAATCGAATAATTGCCGGGAAAACCATAAAAACATCCCTTTTCCCATATAAACGGCTGAATGGATCTCGCTGACTCTCGGCATTGATTTAGAACATAGTATGGAAGAACACATAGGCTATTTTTTTTAATTACGCGCGGACGGAGTCGCTGGCGACAGCTAGTAAAAGATAAAGGTTTGTTCTAGATAAAAATATAAATTCGTAAACTGATTTAAATGATAATTGTAGTCAGTAGAAATAAGATAGATGGAATCGCTGCAACAGTTGTCGCACTAATGGTCACACTTATGCGAGAAATCATTAGCCATAATGTTCTGCAGAATTCGCAATAGTTTATGTCGCATTAATATAAAGTTTACCCCAGTTCCTATTCCTTATTTATTTCTGACACAAAACCTCTCCACTCTTTTGTGTTAAAGTTGGCAATATGACTCGTTTGCTTTTAAATCCTTTTACCGTATAAATAAAACATGACTGGTCATTAGGCGGCTAAACGAAAAATCGCATTACACGTTTGCAAATTCGTGTGATTGCAAATCAATTATATCTGATTGCAGCCCAATCCATTTAAATCCGTGGATCGTTGCAAGCATAAATAAATTATTCTCAATACTGTGTTTACTAATTTTAGAATAGTACGACATTTTAATACATTATATTTATAGTTCCAAATAAAATAACAATGACATAAGCCAGTATTTTTTGTTGGCAACATTCTTTGTCAAATCAACTTCAGTACCATTGACATCTTCAATTTCTTAGTACTGATATGATTATGAATATTTTTTGTTTAACTAAATGATAAAGTTTACATATTATAACCCATAAGACTTTATACGTGCAAGCTATTTAAATAGACAATAAAAGACCCTGAAACAAATATAAATGTAAAGCAAGCTACAAACTTGCGACATGTTCGTCGACAAAAGTGGCACTTTCGGCATTCGGTCAATGTATTCCGTTTGCTATGAATAATAACTACCTGCCAACCTCGAGCACACAACTCAAAGAAAAACATACCGAGAAACGACCCCTTACAAGTTCGTATGTGTTGTAAACACAAATTTATATACTAAAAACTTTTATTTGTCAACTAGATGTCGCCCGCGACTTCGTCCGCGCTGATTTGAAGGACCTAATAGGTCTAACCTAACAGGTATTTGGTATACTAGACTATGTTCTACATGTGTGCCAAATTTCATTAAAATCCGTTCAGCAGTTCTGGAGATAGCTTCAAACATACATCCATCCATCCAAATATAATAAAAAAAATGAATTCTCTGTTTTTATTACCCGGCTGACAGATAATAGATGGCGCTATTTCCTCAGTCAGTCGGATTTTTTCAGATTCAAAAATTATTGGAACAAGAATACGTCCACTCCCTGGTATATTTCCTCTTAAATATAGAAGGTAACATTTTCGATCAGTGTATATTATTTCAAAGATATAAATCACAAATCAAAGCAGCTTTCATTTGATTTTTATTTCGAAACAAATTCTAATTAGATATCGTTATCTTGTGACGTACCATGAAAAGGTATAAAAGCTGTATAAATTCTATACCTACATATTGATTTTTAACAGGGTCGGTTTTATTATTTCCGGCGCCCTGGGCGAAATTGTTGCCGAGTCCCCATTTTTTGATGTCGGGGGAAATCTTCCAAAGATAAGGTATCTTGGGGGGCATCGCAGGCGCCCCTCTAAATCCGACCCTGGCGCCCATGGCGTCTTCTTATGCCCGGCGCCCTGGGCGGACGCCTCACTAGGCCCTACCCTAAAGCCGGTACTGCCTTTTAAAACGAATGTTGGATATTTGGGAATCAGTTTGTTCTTTTGTCAAGTTGCGACTGACTTCTTTTGTTCGTTATTTTTCTTTTCTTCTATTAAAAGCGACTTTACGCAAATATTAACATTAATAATACGTCTCCTTTCCAAATAATTTGAACAAAAAGATTTTCTATAATGAATACATATTTTCGTTTTCCGGAAATCTAAAGAAATTAGAATAATATCGAGAATTTTTTTTTGTTGGCTTCTTCGGAATATCGTATTGCCTTTAACAGACCTCATTAAACAAGGATTAAAAGTCTCTTTCCACTGACGTAAATGGGGTCTACCAGTGTTCTTCAAACGTGGCCATTTCTGCAAAGGGAAAATAGTCCGTGGTACCTATTATTTGTGTAAAATATTTAGTTCTTAATCTGGGTTAGAAACTTGGTATAAAATATAGGTCTCGTGATCCTAAATATTAATACAACCAGAATCGCAAGACGTTTGGTCGCCTCGAATGCATTTAGAAAGAACATCGCGTACCGACTGTAAAACACGAACATCTGATGCAGAGGAGCGTTTTGAAAAGTCAATTACAATGAATAAAATGATGTTACATGATTTACCTAGACGTAAGAGTGTAAGACAGTTTTTTAAGGTTAAAAGAGTACATTAATTTAGCTTGTGATATATTAAGTTGTGGAATAAAACCTCTACTTTTATACATCATAAAATTTTTCTATGTCTGCAAAAATGTAGAAACATTTGTAAAATATAGTCAACTTATTAGCCAATTCTAGCACCACGAAAATTGACAGAAATTCACTCTAGATGTTTATTATTTTTATAGATTTAGAAATAAACTTTACGATATTGAAAAATCGTTCGATTTAACATTACTTATTACTCCGCTGGCGCAGCGACACAAAGTGGGTCTTGGACTCCGACACAATAGATCGCCAAAGTCGCCTGTCTTGCGCCTTCTCATGGACTGCCATTGCTTGCAGCACACCTATGGTAGGTATGGCAAAGAACCATAGAGAGCTATTTTTAATCAGCAAATCAAGTTTTATGCTTTATTTAATTATCATTTAACTGTTAACATTTATAATTTACAATAATAACAATAAATTAAAAATATAATTTACATGAAGAAACTTAAAAACACGAAAACATACGTTCAAAAAGACACACGAACATATCAACATTTTGGTAATAATGTAGTCTTCTTTATGTCTTAATTTTCATACTATGTCACGTGTATATAAAACTTATTAGTGACGTCACGATCAGGTACAGAAGTTAATTTGTTCTCATTAGCCTTGTAACAGTTTCTGTCGTACCAATTTGTCAGATCTACGCCCGGTATGCGAGAACAGGAGACCGGAGCGTTGCTGAAAATTAAAGTGTAAAATTACTAGCTTTCGACCTCAACATCTTCCACGCTAAAAAATCCAGATAAAGTTATAATTAGTCTATCTTACATATTTCGTCCAGAATTCTTTCGACCGTTATAGAGTTACGAAGTTACAAATATCCAAACGTCCATCCATCCAATCGTTCGCCTTTATGCCATACAATACAATATTTATTGGTAATTTTTAAATTATAGGTAAAAGAGCGATTTACGGATTTATGGATAAATAATATTTGCTCTACATGAGAATTCGTGGGATTCGCGTTTTACAGCTTAAAAACAAGACTCATTTCGCAGAGTAAGGTGTCATCATGTTCTTTCCGAGTTGTCAGGATTATTTTTATTGTAATTCTATTGAACTGACATCTTACTAATATTATATCTTACTTCTTACTAATATTATAAAAGCGAATGTTAAGATGCATGGATGTTTGTTAGAAGGTATCGTCAGAAATCATGCATGGATCTCGCTGAAATTTGGCATAGACGAAGAATATAGTCTGGAAGGAGCCACTCGGATGAACTCGCGGGCGACAACTAGTTACAAATATCAAATTTAGCCATTATTTTGAATATTTTGATGGAATACTCACTATACTTGGACGTTAAGAAATGCTTGCGGTTGTATATATTTGATACCATCGGCATTATCGCACGCAACGCGAGCTAAATTCGTCTTCCTGATCTCTTGCAATTGAACTGAAAGTGTAAATATTTTTGGTTGTAATGTAATAAATAATTACGTGTCGGAAGTAAAACGATTTTGTTCCAGATATGAACACGCCTATTGTTTTACTTGGCTGTTTTAATCATCCTCTATTGTAATATGATTTAAGAGTTCGTTTAAATAGTAGATTATTATGAGTTAATATTTAAAATAATTATTAAAAATTTAATTAAAACGTCGCATTTTTAATAATTAAAATAGGTATTTTATTAAAATATGATTATCGTTAAGTTGCAAACGAGCAAGCAATCTGCAGCAAGCCTTGTCTACATTTATAGATAGGAGAGGTCGCACAGAAAAATTATATTTTCTCTTTCTATGTTACCACTCTGCCGACAAATCCACTTCCCCTTCGCATGCTTTCCTTAGAAGAAAAGGGTGGTAAGAGAAAAAGGAGTAAAATTAGAAATCTGACCAGCACACTCATCAGAGAAAATGGGTACTTCCACTACACTCCTGTTGTCAATGTGGTCGTGGTATTACACAGGTCGAGCTGGCCAATTCCATTGTTACCTAGATAACTCTAAAATTATTTAGTATTTCTTAAATACATATTACTTCTGGAATCGTCTCCAATTACGAGTTGCTGTATAAACTTACGAGGTGTGAAACTATGGAATTGATCCCCCCTTTCGAACCAAAATCGATCTCCGTATCTGTAGACACTCATTTGTCGAGCCATTATACAAAATAGTGTCGGTCCAATAAATGTATTCTTAATGTAACTTTCACTCATTATTCCAGCCAGTAAGTCGACATCGTCAACATCTTCGTACAGATGCTTCAATAGCTCTACTTTCTGGAAAAAATGAAATTAACTGTCTCGTTTTGTTACTACGAGTATATTTTCTGTATAATTAGAGGGGATAGACATAGCGCATTCGCTTCGAAGGGATTTTATAACGAATTTCAAATATGTGTAGTATTGACAATATATTTCGATAAGGCACGTCAGTTTCATACATTTTTTTTAAATTGGCTATGAAATCGCTTTGGAGAAAATGCACTGTCTAGCCCCGCTGCAATAAAGCACTTGCATAGGTCGTGAAAAACTTAGCAGATTCTTAAAATTATTATTTTCTTATTTGCCATTGTAATTTAAAAAAAAATCTTCGTTGTAAGTCTAAAATCTTCGAACAAAACACAGTAAAATAATTATAATATTCAAGCATACGCAATCTTACTCTAAGTAATATAAATGTGAATGTTTAGATATAGGTAAGAATGTTTGTATGTTTGTAAGAAGGTATCGACAGAACCACTAAACGGATCTCGCTGAAATTTTGCATAGATGTAGAAGATTAGTCTGGAAGAACACATAGACTACTAATTAAGTTTTCTTTATTACCACGCGGCCGCGGTCGTAGGCCACGGCTAGCATTGTACGAGGTTTGAACCCTCGTTCGTTTACCCAACTCAACCTTAAAACAACGAACACATATCGCATTTCAAGTGTGAGCTTAATTAAAATAACTTTTTGAAATGTGAACGTAACGAAGCGTGTAATTCAAAAAGTTAATTATTTTAAATTCATTGTTTTAATGAAAATAACGAGAGCAGTTGAATGATCTTACTATTAAATTATATAATATTATAAATGCGAATGTTTAGATGTATGTTCGTTTGAAGGTACATATCTCCAGAACGGTTGAACGGATCTCTATGAAATTTGCCATATATGTAGAATATAGTCTGGAAGAACACATAGGCTACTAATTAAGTTTTTCTTTTAACTCCGCGAGGACAGAGTCGCGGGCGATTTATGTATGATAATAGCGTTCTTTCGTTTTGTTATTATATCAGAAAAGAGAATATTTAAATCATATTCTAGCTTTTGCTAAACAAAGATTATAATATATATATATAACAAAATATATTATACTAATCGTCTTGATGCTTATTATTATATATATATATAATGTTTTCTAAATATATTTGTGTTTTGAATACATTAGAATATATTACAGGATTGTTTTTATAAATTATAAGCACAGTTTTTTATTTCTTGTGCCATTCTAATTAAGCTGTAGGCTTGTGCTAGGATATGGTTTACGACAATAGTAGAATGATTTCGACTCTCGATTACTTGAACGGAAATCCGTATCTTCAACCATTAGGCTTTTGGAGCTTAAATTATTTTGAAGTTTAAATTAAATCTATTATATAGATACTTACCTCTATGTCGATAACATCAGCGAAATCTTCAAAAGTTTTTGCAGATTTTAAACCGCAAATACTTCTGTATTCATTGTATCCTCTCATACCTAAGTCTCTACTTCTTTGTATATCACTAGCAGTTTGATCGTAAGCTTTTTGTAAATTACCAAAGTAACGTTCAACGATCTGAAAATGTAATATTACGATTTCATTCAATTCTACACCTATTCGTACATCTTCCGTTCCCGTACTCTCAACAAATGGATGTTTATTTGAAGGTGTAGCATTCGTTGCGTTATATTTGGCTCGTTTGCCGACACGTGCTGCCGGTCCAAAGGTCCAGACATCGACTGACGCCCTCTCTCTCCGGCATGTACTTATGACGTATACACTTGAGACAAACAACATTTATGCATACACTACAGAAGGTATCTCCGGAACGACTCAACGGATCGTAATGAAATTTGTCACAGATGTAGAACATAGTCTGGAAGAACATGTAAGCTACTTATTATGTTCTTTTTTATTTTGCGCTGATGGAGTCGCTTTTTGACTTGACTTGACTATTTTACCTCCGGATCTTGAATGTCATCCATTTTAGCTGCATTCTGATAGAATGTGCCGCGATTGATTTCTTCAAAGTTTCCATTCTGTTCCAAAAGATCTTGTCTGAATAGAGTATCACTGTAGGTAAATTCATCTAGATAATTGTAATTCTCATCGTATTTCCTTAAAGAAATCAAATGATGAAATTATATGTAAAATTCACCAAAGTCATCTATAACAATTAGAAGTAAAATCTTTTTATCTCATTGATTGATCCAAAGCCATCTAATATTATAAATGCGAATGTTTAGATGGGTGGATGGATGTTTCTTTGAATGTATCTCAAGAACGGCTGCATGGATCTCGCTGAAATTTGGCATGCATGTAAAACATAGTCTGGAAAAACACATAGACTCTTTAGTTATATTAAATTCTAGGTAACGGAGTCGCGGGCAATAGTAACTAATAGTTTGAATTCTATTGGCATACTGATGAATATCAGAACAAAATATAACAATTACTTTATTCTTCCGTCAAGTAATGTATGGAAGAATCTTGTAGCAATCTCGTACTCCGCGAAGACTAGAGGTATTGCAGTTTCATCATACGCACTCACTTGAGACTTGCGATTCGATATTAAACCATAACTAATCATGTTTCTTCGATCTAAAAACAATACATAAATTACAAAAGGTTTCACAAGAAACTACATTATCTATCTCTCCATACTCTTTGGAAATTATAGATAAAAATATTATAATGCAATAGGTTTGACAGTTGGTTTCTGAGATCAAAATCTCTATATGTAACATATTGACATCCCTGTCATTATCTTTGGCAAAACAGAGATAACTCTCGTTTGCCCCCTTCTCCTATAAAAAAAAACTATAACATATGTTTTAAACGTAAATTTGACAGTGGTAGGGCCCGCTTTAACATCTTCGCACCAATTGGTCCGGCCCGCCCGGTGAAATACCACGACCACACAGAAAACAGGCGTGAAGTGGAAGCAATTCCGCGTTTCATCTGATGAGTGTGCATCCCGGAGGCCTAATTTAGTTCTCTTTCCCTTCCCACCCTTTTTTCATGTAAGGAAAGTATGGAAAGTGGAAGCAAACATTCGGATGAGAGGATGCATGGGAAGGGAAAATATTTTCTTGCTGTGCATCCTCTCCTCTGTCGATTAAAGGTAGGCAACGCATAAATAATTGCGTATGTCTATGGGCAACGGTCACTGCGCTATTTCAGCAATTTCAGGTGGCCGCTCGCTCGTTTGCCACCTTATGATATGAAAAAAAAATTGGATTCAGAAAGCCATACTTCTATCAACTTACATTTTAGTCTATGATGTTTAAAGAGTTTTATAGACGAAGTTCAAAAACCATATGTCAGTATAAAAATACATAGTTCTAACTCAAAAACAGCTTGGCTACAGCTAAACTTAATTAATGAATAGTTAACTTACCTAACAAGAGCGGTAAGAGTTCGTACATGAATATGTTGCTCGCTGTCGCAATATTTATCTGACGGGCGACTTTAAATAGCCGGTCGTCTTTCCAACATGGATTTAATTCGTGCAATATTTTCGCAATACGATTATGTTCGCGCATGAAAAATATGTTGAAACTGGTTGTTCTTAAATCGAAATTACCAACCTCTGGGAAACCTTTAAAAACAAAAACATAAGTTTGACCAGTATTTAAAGTATAGTATTTATCTTTTCTTTCTATTTTTAGCTGACTTAAAAAAGAAAGTAGGTTTACAACTGGTCTGTATGTTTTTTTGTGTGTTACCGTGTAATTCCGCCCCTGGGGCTCCGATTTTGATTTATTTTTTGATCGAAAGGTTTTGCTTTTTGGTCCCATTTTTTTATTAATCTTTAAACTGCCTAGAAGTTTAGTAGATTTTGAGTTTTTAGTACTAGTGTTAGAGGATCTTAAAATTTAAATATTTTAGACAAGATATCATTAACAATCTCTACTCTCTCAAGAGGTTCTTTTTTTAAGCATGACAGAAACAAGGTAAATTTTTCTTTCCTAAAAAAGACCGTATACATAGGACAAAAGAAATATGAATATTTCCATTAATCTTTTGCGCCATGATGTCTTTGCGTCTTCTTCCACATTTGAGCATGGATTTTGTCATAATTACTTATTCCATTCAAAAAAATACTTACCAAAAGTATAACAGTTAGTTTCATTCTCCACGTTCTGAATACATAAATTCTTAGTTAAGTTCACAAGAGGTACATTACGACCGTTTCTCTCTTCCATCAATAAAAGACCATCCTCCCATTTTCTTACCATGTTCATAGATCTGTCATCAACTCCGTAGATTGTTGATAAATCTATGAGTGGCGTTTGTAAATTAATCTAAAAGAAAAAATAAACATGTGACGTATGAAATATAATTAACGCGTAATTTCATCGTGGTTCTTTTGTTTTTAGTCAGGTATTTTCATACTTTTAGTCAACTTATATCTTTTGTTAACAACTTTGTTTTTAGGTCATAATACTCTTGAGGGTTTGTTTTAATAATTACGTTTTTAGAAACCATTGCACAACTTACCCTTAATATAATACTTGTAATACTTATCATAAAATATAATAAAAGTACAAATTAATATACAAACATGTTCAGGTAGCATAGACTTGGAAAGACATCCGATGTCTTGAAATGTTTCCGCACGAGAAAAATTGAGACATCGTATGTCTGTAACTTTAAGGTAAGGATCATTGTCCGGTACTTGTATTGGCATGCACCGAGGATCCTTTGCTTCTGTTTGATGGCAACAATCCTTCCCCTTTGTGAGATAATCAACTGAAATTTAAAAAAAAAATATGTTTTATGATTGATAATAAATCTGACATTTTCAAAGGCCATTTGACAACTATGATTTGCTGTCTTCCAAAAAAAGAAAAGATAATATCGAAGATAGAGAATAGGAATCTAACTAGAGCTTCAAAGATTTTTCAGATTTTTTTCTTCATAAAATCAATTTGATTTTTGTATAACCATTTGGGTTATTTAAATGTTCATGCAAATAAAATGTCAATCTTACTTGGTTCAAACAAAACGCTGACATCTCGATTGATAAAATCTAAATAGTGCACAGCGGCGACGTTGAAGTTAATCTTATCGGTGACACGGCCTGTACTCTGCAGGAATGTCCGGACCAGCCTCGCTGACGGTAGCGGCTTGCCATTCTTACTGACTTTTACATCTCCATCTGTATAACATAAATGCAGTTAGCACTTAGTGCACTTGACTATGGATTTCAAATGTCAAAACAAGAATGCAAAAACACTATCATTCACTTAAAAAAATGAGATAAAGATAGGTTTTCGCAATCTGTCTCGGCTTTGCTTGTGTGGATCTTAAAAGTTTTAGTAGGAGAGGCGAAGCGGGGATTTTTGGATTTATTCTAGCATGGCAGTTAAAAATAAGTATGGAAACTTGTAACCAATCAAATGCATTTGGTGCAATATCCCTCCTTAAGTCTAACTGTCAGGGTAAAATAAATCCCAAAATCTCCGCTTCGCCTCCCTTACTATTTAGCTTATATTAAGCTGATACAAGATCTACTGATGTAATTTTATTGGGTTCAGTAGATTTTTAGTCCTTTAATTACTAGTCTATATTACTTGTCGTAGTCATATTTTCTCTTGTCTTGTTTTTGTGTGTAAAATGGTGACTTACTTTCAGCATAGTCCGGCTTTAGCAGTCTCGCGTAAGGTCCTTTAGCAGCACCCAATGATGGATATTTATAATTATTACAAGTACCATCAATTCTGCTCCCTTCATGGGGAACACATGGTTTAATATATATTGTACAAATTCTGCGAAAGAATGAAACAGTAGAGCGTACTTTTATCAAAGTATTTTGATAACAATTATACCTATATTTATCCTTAGTTTTACTAATTTAATCCTTGGTAAAAATATATTATAATAAGAAATATAATAGTCAAGGTCACACCAAACCTAGTTAACGTTTCTTTGGCTTTTTGATGATATATTTATAATAGATTTAGATATGAACAATCCTTTTGATGGATACATTTAGAGAAACAATACACGGGCGATATCGTTTTATTCTCTTTATTCATAACCAGCGGTCGCCGGTGACTCCATCCGCGAGGTTATTAAAAAATACATAGTTAGTAGCCTATGTTTTCTTCCAGACTATGTTCTATATGTATACCAAATTTCATCAAGATCCGTACAGCAGGTCTGGAGACAACTTCAAACAAACATCCATCTAAACATTCGCATTTATAATATTAGTAAGATATACTTACGATGTCGCATTTGTTAGTCGTAGTTCCTTCAATCTTTCACCGTCAACCTTTTCTCCACTGAATCTATCGTATTGCGTACACTCTATATCATTTATGCATATTAGTATTAAAATATACACTAAACGATTCATTTTACACGACTCTCTCTTCGACGTTACCAACAATAATAACGCATTAAATCGGTTATTGCAATATTTCTGTAGGTAAGCTTCCTTCCACTTCTATTAACGATACTATTAATTTTAAAATTACATCACAACGTATGTGGGAAGTAAACAATTCAGTTAACGCCGGTAATATTTTTTTTTGTAAAATATGCAATCGATTCGATATCGAGTAATTAATCGGTATACAGGAAATATTATTTTTATAAGTGAAGGCGTGGAAGTGAAATGTTAAGATTTGTTTATATAATACCTACTAAATGCTTATTTATCTATGAATTTATTTACATAATTTAGTTTATTATGAATTCTAAAAAATGCAATAAGTTCTAGAGAGTTAAAAAACAACTCTTAATTTACAGTCTTTATGTTAACGGAGGTATAATTTTAGTCTTTCCCTTCCCATTTTTTTACATAGGTGGGGACGTATAGTAAGAGAAAATATTTTCTATCTGTACGTTATGTTCTGTTCTTCGTCGATTAAAGATAGGCAACACGTCTGTTACTGCATCAGGATATCTATGAACAGCAGTCGGTTCACCATTTCGGCAAATCCAGGTAGCCGCTTGCTCGTTTGCCACCTTATTAAAAAAAATGAAATGAACGAATATAAGGTACTTTTCCATTGGTCGAGCGCTTAGCAAATTTCTGAATCTTTTTACATTTTATATATTTTAAATATTCAATATACGAAAAAGATATATGAAGGTAAGTTTAATCAATCAAACGTGACGAGCTCAACGTTGTGACGTCACAAAGCTTTGAACTTTGCTGTGACGTCACAAAGTCTGCAGCGCTAATTGCTCACAAGCTCGGCCACCAGTTCAACCATAACGTTCCACGCAACTATTGATACACTTTAAGCATTCCACTGCAAATATATTAAATCCCAGCAATCTCACTTAATATTATAAATGCGAATGTTTATATGGATGTATGTCTGTTGCAAGGTATCTCCAGAACGGCTTCACACATCTGGATGACATCTGGTATAGGCGTAGAACACACAGACTACTTAACATTGTTTTAAATTCCGGGCAAACGAAGTCGAGAGCAGAAGCTAGTATTTCGTAATAAAAAATATTACTACAAAATTTGTAAGTTACTCATACTGAAAACCATTTTAATTAAACTCTAGGCTTGTGCTAGAAAATAGGTTATAATAGTCGAATGAAAAATATTTTTAACAGACTTCGTAATATTATCTTTAATCAATTAGAATTTAGAATAATTCAGCTCTTAATGGATATTGTGGCCAGATTTTATACCACAATTTCCAAGTTTAAGGTTTCAATTATCAAGACATTTAAAAAAAATCATATTTCTTCAACTTTCCAAATACAAAAATACACTTGGAGACCGCGGACACCGATAATATGATACAGCGTGTCTTTTCTCTTTATTTATTACATAAATATACTTACTTTTCCCTTCTGGTTTCAATATAATTGTGTTTATGTCCTCGCGTATCCTATTTCAACAAACTTTATTACGTATTGAAAATATATTTGATAAAGTATCCATAGTAATCCAATATTGTATTTGGCTAGTTTTATATCTTGTAATACAGTTTTGTAAATGTGTTTGTTCTTCTTACTAAAACACAATTTACTCAATATAAAGTCTGTTGTGATTAATTAAGCTTTTAAATTAGTTAAGAAAGAAATATCGTTTTTTTTATATCATGAGATGGCAAACGAGCGAGCGGCCACCTGAAATCGCTGAAATACCGAAGTGACCATTGCCCTTAGATATACGCAATTACATTTGCGTTGCCTACTTTTAATCGACGGAGGAGATGCACAGAAAGAAATTATTTCCATCCATCTTCTCATCCGGAAAGTCCACTTCCACTTCCCATCCTCTCCTTATAAGAAAAAAGGTAGGAAGGGAAAGAGGACTAAATTAGTCCTCCGTGACGCATACTCATCAGACTAAAAGCGGAATTGCTTCCACTTCACGCCTGTCTTCTGTGTGGTCGTGGTATTTCACCGGGCGAACCGGGCCAATTCGAACGATTGACTCAGAGTAAGAAATTAAATTTACTACAAATTTAAATTAGAAGAACGATGGTCTTATTTTATAGTCGTTATTACAATGAATATTAATCTTACGTAATGTATGAATAGCTTTGATTTGTATAAAATCCAGCACAAAGTTGGCTCGTAGCTTTCTATGGTTGCGTACAATCAAGTTAGCATCCCCAACGATGAATATTTAACGAACTGTTCCCGTAACTTGGTGCATATTTTGACTTTATTTTGTAGACGCTGAGAAAACAGTTTTTTTAATCTTTTATTTTGTCAAAGAAAAAGGAAAATTCTAATATTTTGCAGTATTATATCGTGTTTAAAATTTTATCTTTAATAAATTAGAAAATTTGCATAATTCGTAACAGTAAAGGTCTTTATTGAATAACTTTTAGTATATTAAATTTAAGATTTTAAGCCATTACAATGTCGGTTCAAATCTATATATATACATATAAAAGAAAGTCGTGTTAGTTAAACTATTTATAGCTCAAGAACGGCTTTACAGATATGGCTGAAAATTGGTGAGGAGGTAGCTTAGAGCCAGGAGACGGACATAGGATTACCATTTATTCTTTTTTTTTCGAATTTATGCTTTGAAGAGCTGCTTTTTATTTAACTTACTAATATAAATGCGAATGTTTAGATGGATGTGATGTGGATGGATGGATGGGTGTTTGAAGATATATCTAGTACGGCTGAACGGATCTCGTATAAATTTGGCATACTTATAGAACATAGTCTGAAAGAACACATAGGCTACACTAATTAGGTTTTTTTATACATCCACGCGGACGGAGACGCAGGCGACAGCTAGTAGACAATATAACAAAGCTACTATAATTCATATTATTATTATTTTCTTATGTGTTATTCTTCTAGTTAGTCGTTAGTCTTTATAATTATTTTGTGATGTTTTTACTATTGTGTTGGTATAATGAAAGGATTAAATCTTATTTTATTTTTTATTTTTTTTATAATAGTGAAATCGATTACGTATACCAACGAAATGCTGAATTATCAAATAACGGATAAAACAAAGTTCCTAAGTTAATCATACAGAGCAGTAAAATAACTTCAGGTAACTTGGAATGTTACATTCAAAAGCAGCCGAGCACTAAACAACTTTGAATGGTATTCAGGTCGCAGTCTCTGTAAGAGCTTAGATCAAAGCTTTGTATACGTTTCATTTTATTTAAGTACTGATATTTCTTTTAATCTTACTTCGAATATGTGAGTGTTTTCCATTCGATTATCACTTGCTTTTCCAATGAAAGTGAATGCTTTTAGACTTTGTTAATGAGACTTTAGACTGAGTAATATAAAGGGAAGTCTATAATCTCATAGCTCTATGTAGATCAATTCGAAACGCCCGCTCTATCTATAAATAAGTTTACAATAATGCGCTTTCTTTTATTTTGCCATTTCGAACAGAATATTCTTACTTCTTTCCAAGGCGAGCGATGACATGTTTAAAACTTTTGTTTCGTTATTTGAAAACCACAGTTTTGTAGCTTGTAGTTTTGACTGAACGACTATTTGACTAAACAGTACAGTTAAATTGTACGTATATAGTCATTTGGAATTAAGCTGTACAGTACTCAGTTGTCAGTAAAATTGTGCAGTTAAACCTAAGTGTGTGATGCGTGCTTAATACTGTGACATCGTGGTATTTGATAGTTATGTGATTTATTATAATGTTGCGATATCAATCTTTTTTTAGCCGTCGTGAAGAATCTTTAATTATAAATTAGTTTTATCATAGACTCTTGTATTTTGTCGTTTTATAATCGAATATTTATAATTGGTTTTATTGTAATAAGTTTCTCGTTTACCACAACCTTAAATTGCAGCTGTTGTACTGTTTATTTTTTATATTGACCCAAATATTCTGTTGTATTAAGTTTATCTTAGCGGACTTAGTATGATTTATTTCATACAATGTACGACAATCTGTGCGTAACGTTGAACAATAAGCCGTTTACAGGTCGCCGGAGATCAATAACATAATAACATTGTATTAAATCAAATACCTACACAACAATCTAATCACGATCATTACCAAAACAATACTAATTTGATTTACTTGATTTAATCTATTTACAAAGTAGATACTAAGTTCAAAATATCTTCATAATAATGGATATCTCAATCGTAGTTTCTTGAATTTATTACCAACGATATAAATTTCTAAATAAAGCCTTTCGCTAATTTTATTTTTGCTTTTCCTAGAATTTATATATTTGTATTCATAGGTTAGTGTATTCATGTATATTATATATGTATGTTGCTTAATCTGTTTAGTATATCTATATGTAACTTGTATATATATTATAATTAATTCTTGCTCTTATTTATTTATTCCTGACATATCGTGATATTTATATGTTATATACCCCGCTATGTATGTTATTCTCTCCTGTCCCACTGGGTTGCCTGGAAGAGATCGCTTGTAGCAATAAGGCCGCCCTTGCTTTGTAAATTAGTTAATTGTCATTTTTTTATGTATTATGATAGTATTAAGAGTTAATAAATAAATAAATAGATATTATTGTATAAAGTATTTATTTTAATGAAAAGACGAATTGGTTTCAATTGCAACGAACTTCCTTTGTAAAGTTTCGGTCCAAAGCGAGAACCGTCAAAGTATCGTTAACAAAGCATTCTCATTACTTGCAGGCAAAGCACGTTTAAGGCAAAGGACTATTGCTACAGTACTATATTGGAAATTCCTTTTACAAGCCAACTACGCAACTGCCCGGCAATAATACCGTTTACCATACAAACCACATGGAAAGCTAAGATGGGAGAGAAATCACTTCAAAGCACTTAAACTGGCCATACACGGACTGAAATTTAGCGGCAGCTACAAAATGGTCTGAATATGGTGAAAATAAATTTTGTATGAGTACTGCTGATAAATCTTTTGTTACCAACAGCATGATAAATTCCATGCAATTTTCTTAACTTTTACTTAAAATCTTTTTCTGAGGAACCCGGAGCCTAAGCTAAGTTAAGGGTGACTACGTCATAGTTAACCACGCTAACCCAGTGCGGGTTGATTAACTTATCACACACATATCTTTGAATTTCTTCGCAGATGTGAGCAGGTTGCATCACAATGTTTTCTTTCACCGTCAGAACGTCTGATAAATGTGCATATGCAAATCGATAAACGTATTGGTACATGACGGGATTCAAACCCAGGACCTGCATTTTATAAAGTACTTATCCCCAGAGCCACTATAATATTTCTCTATAATACTTATAAATCTAAATGTAAAATTATCAAATTGACAAAGTCAATTAAAATTTAACCAAATCTAAATGTTCTTTTTTAACTGCACTGTATACAGTTTGCATAGTTTTCCAACAATTTTTAAAAATTAATATTTCATTCGACATTCAACAAGTTTCGCTTTACTAACACTGACAATGCAATCCGGATGTTAGCGATCCCGGTTGAAATAAAATCATAACTGATGTATACTCTACATTAAAAAAGTTAAATAAT